AAAGGTCCTTTTTGGTCAAACAGTTCTGGAAATGTTTCGTTGTTTATCTTTAGCTTTCAAATATTCGATTTTGAGCGTTCCTGATCAATTTTGATCCAAAAAAGCGCTTCGGAGGCATGAAAGTGTTGTTTTCATTTTTGTATTATTGCGAGTAATTACATTTGCCAATGCAAAACTAAAAAAAAAGGTGTCTTTTTTTACATTTTTTAATATAAACCAATTAGTCAGTAACGCATCAACTAAAAGACACTTAGATAACATTCAAGTTTTCAACAACAAGACATTACCTGTCTGACATGGTTCATAAGAACTCAGCTTTCACTGGTCGTTGATTAATTTTTTATTACAGTGATAAGTTAGTATCTTCGTTTGCTTTAGTAACATGCTAATATGGGGACGATCATTTGATATTCAAAAGGGGGGAGGGGGTGAAGAATGTGTTGACATTGTAGGAACAGCACATCAATAATATTGCCCAAAATTGGATGATGTAAAAATACTGTCTGATTGGCATGTCTGTATGATACATGTAATAAAATTGACCTAGCAATTCTTGGTTCATTTATCTACTTAAAGTTAAAAGTTTGGATATGTTCTAATTGTCGGAACTACAATCCAGTCCCCTTTCACCCGAGTATGACATATCGAATTATTTTTGTTTTTGTTTTTAGAGGTATAGAGGAAGGGTTGAGATCTCACAAAACATGTTTAACCCTGCCGCATTTTTGCACCTGTCCCAAGTCAGGAACCTCTTGCCTTTGTTAAATGTGGATGTTTTTTTTTAATTTTGCTTCATTTATATCTTTCGAAGTTTAGTGTGACGTCCATTTTCACTGAACTAGTACACATTTTTGTTTAGGGGCCAGCTGAAGACCGCCTCCAGGTGCGGAATTTTCTTGCTGTGTTGGAGACCCATTGGTATCCTTTGGCTGTTTTCTCCTCTTTGGTCGGGTTGTTGTTTCTTTTACACATTCCCCGTTTCCATTCTCAATTTTATTAAAATCGGATGGAGCAGATTCTGCTTACCCTTCCGGAGCAACTGAGATCACTCCCAGTATGTGGTTGGGTTCTTGTTGCTCAGTCTTTGGTTTTTCAATGTTGTGTTTTGTGTACTGTTTGTCTGTTTGTCTTCTTCTTTTTTAGTCATAGCCTTGTCAATTTATTTTCGACTTATGAGTTTGAATGTCCCTTTGGTATCCTTCGCCTCTCATTGGCTTTGTTTTTCTTATTCTAAGCAGACGCAAATAGTTAAATTTTACCTTCGACTTTGATGTGGTCCACCTTCACACATTTTTCATAGTTGAGTTATATTTCATGCAATGGAATGTTTTATCGACATGATTTATTTCAATCTTATTTCAAAATCAAAATAAAATATTTTAATTACCTGAAAGTTTAATACTAGGTTATCTTATATATATAGTCTGACAAATAGCGTAAAGACATAGCCAGTTAATGTAAACGGTATTTTTAACGACCATTTTGTAAATGAACAAATTCATGGATATTTTGATAATACTGAACCCCCTCTTATTTGTTATATTTACAAGAAATCTACCCGGAAATTTGTGTTTAATTATAGCCAAGTCTGTAAAGATGTAAATATCAGTGAAAATACACCTACGTCATGTAATTGTAGTAATTCCGAATACACTTATGGCCCCATTTCCCATGTTATAACAGGAGTCCTTAACATCGTTCGCGACCGAGAGTTAAAATCATTCCTCAGTAAATATCGTTCCCCGTCAATTATTAATTGGAATGAGTGTCGTAATATCATCCACGACTCACTTCGTGCTTACTGTTTGAAATGGATAACACGGGAAAAAGCTGACAAAAAATCTTTGGACTCTTTTTTTAATTCAGTAATGAAGATAGTTGATATACGTATACAACATTTTAAAGAACATTTTACTCTTAACAACAACCATAAAAATCCTATTTCTTGTATCAAACATAAACTAAAAGAACTAGCCAAGGAATTTGTTTTTGTCCCTGCTGATAAAGCTGCTAATAATATCATTATAGTTTGACGTTAATTTTACATTGAGGTTCTGCAAAAGGAAATCACCAATTCACCATCATTCCAACTGACTTCATTTTCAGAAAACAATATCTGTAACAAACATAAACTATTAGCTACAACTATGTACTGGCTTCCGAAGCTACACAAATCACCTTACAAATATAGATTTATTTCGTCTTCAAGTCATTGTTCCACTACTAAATTGTCTATTCTACTTACTAGTACACTTGGTACAATCAAAAACCTGATAATAAATTGTTCAAATAAGGCCTTTGAAAATAGTGGAATTAATTACTTTTCGAGTGTCAAAAACTCGTTGGAAGTACTTGATAAATTGCATGCATATATTGGTGATTTTAAATCTGTTCAAAGTTTTGATTTCTCTACCCTGTATACCACTTTGCCTCATATTCTTATTAAGAAAAAATTCACACACCTAATTAAATGGGCATTTAAAAAGTCGGAATGCGAATACATATGTTCAAACTCTTTTAGGTCATTTTTTAGTAGCAACAAACAAAAGAACTATGTCAATTGGACATGCTTTGATACTATATCTGCCCTTGAATTTTTACTTGATAACATTTTTGTTCGCTTTGGAGATTCCGTATATCGTCAAGTTATCGGAATTCCAATGGGGACTAACTGTACACCACTTATTGCGGACCTATTTTTGTATTGTTATGAGTTACAATTCATGACTAAAATCAGCAAAGACCCATCGAAACAACATCTTATACAAAAATTTAACAATACTTTTAGATATTTGGATGATATATTGGCTCTCAATAATGACGACTTCAGTATGTATGACCACTGTCCTTTGCTCGATCTTGATATCTATATCATTAACGGGAAGCTTAATACAAAAATTTATTATAAAAGAGATGATTTTTCATTTCCTATCGTTAATTATCCATTTTTAGATGGTGACGTTCCCTTGTCACCAACTTATGGTGTTTATATATCTCAACTTGTACGATTCGCTCGTGTATGTAACAACGTATTAGATTTTAGTGAGAGAAATTTATGTATTACTGAAAAATTATTACACCAGGGTATTCGATATCATAAACTAGTCAAAACATTTACTAAATTTTATCATCGGTATAAGGACATCATTCGTAAATATAACTCAACATGCAGACATCTTATACGTTCGGGTATTTCACATCCAATCTTTTATGGTAATATTCTTTACAAAGCACAAAAATGTCAGTCTTCACCTCAAAAGCTAACAAAACCTTTAAACAGACTTATTAAGAAGGGATGTTGTTACGATACTGTTGTCAGTTCATTAAAGATTGCATATTTTGGCTTTAATATTGATTCACTTATAGGGTCTTTGCATCGGAATTAACACATTTATTCTAAAACCAGTTGTTGGCATGACACGGGTTATGTTCTTCTCATATATTTTATGACGGTATAATACTAAACCGCTAACAGGAGGGATTGTGCCTGATATTATTATGATGACGACATAATCTTTCAATCAGTTTAATTGAGGTCTGGAGCTGGCATGTCAGTAACTGCTAGTAGTCTGTTGTTATTTATGTATTATTGTCATTTTGTTTTTTTTCTTTTGTTTCCTATTCTGACATCGGACTCGGACTTCTCTTATACTGAGTTTTAATGTGCGTACTGTTGTGCGTTTGTTTTTTTCTACATTGGCTAGAGGTATAGGGGGAGGGTTGAGATCTCAAAAAACATGTTTAACCCCGCCGCATTTTTGCGCCTGTCCCAAGTCAGGAGCCTCTGGCCTTTGTTAGTCTTGTATCATTTTTAATTTTAGTTTCCTGTGTATAATTTGGAGTTTAGTATGACGTCCATTATCACTGAACTAGTATACTTATTTGTTTAGGGGCCAGCTGAAGGACGCCTCCGGGTGCGGGAGTTTCTCGCTGCATTGACGACCCATTGGTGGCTTTCAGCTGTTGTCTGCTCTATGGTCGGGTTGTTGTCTCTTTGGCACATTCCCCATTTCCATTCTCAATTTTATGTAAAAAGAGGTTTGTTAGAATGAAACTGCATTTCTTCTTTGTAGTCAGATATACATTGTTTTCTTCAGTTTATGGTCAAAATTATATTTACAAAGTTGAACATCAGTTGTTATTATTTCGTTTCTTTGTAGCTCAACATAGACGAGAAATAAGAGAATGGGAGCAAGACCAAACTACGTTTGTAGAAATCAGAGCAACACATCACATACTAGGATTATTATCCTTAAATAACTGTATTGTTGTGACAGGGACCTTGGGTTGTGGTAAATCTTCAAACATACACCATGCTGCCTTACAATTACGTGACAGTTTTAGATATGAGATAATACCGGTTTTAACGGGGCCAATAGACATTATAAATTATTATGATGAAAACAAAAAACAAGTCTTTGTTGTTGATGACATCTGTGGAAAAGAAACAATCAACAATCAGACATTGCAGATATGGAGAGATTTTGCAGACAAGATGAAGAAAATATTTACTGTTCGAGAAAAAGAAGTTGCAAAAACAAATGATGGCACTGTTTTAGAGGTATCAAGTCCAAAATTACTTATTTCTTGTAGACTGCATATATATAAAGAACCCCAATTTCAACGTATTGCATTACTCACGCAAAATGAATGCAATTTACTCTCATCAGAGTTGTGTTTGCTACAACAGGAAAGAATGCTTATGTTGCATACGTACCTTCCAGATGACGTTATTGCCAAAGTGAAACTGAAACACGTCCTTGAGAACCATAATTTCTTTCCCTTGCTTTGTAAACTGTCACAAAACAAAACATCGGAAGAAGTCGACAAACTTTTTACTGCTCCTTTGGACAGGATTAATAGAAACATAAAGAACATTATTAAAGAAAACAAGGAACAATGTTGTGCTCTTGCTCTGTGTATCTTATTTGATGATGGATTCAATACAAATTGGCTGAAATTAAGATCAGTTCAAGAAAAGAACAAGAACAAACTTGAAGACATTGTTAAAGTATTTGACATAAACTTAAGCAACGAAATGCATAGAAATTCGTTAAAATCAGGGTTTTCGACGTTACATGGCACATATTTAAAACTGAAGGACCAGGTGTATAGAATCATACATGACAAAAACTATAAAATGGCAGCCGTAATCTGTGGACAGCACCTTACAGAATGTTTTATCAAATATGCTCCTTCTGTATTTATTCGGGATCATTTCATCTTTGACTCTATACCAGATATTAATGAAAATGGTAATTCAATTGTACTATTGAAAGACCAAGAAGAAGATTACTTTGAAAGACTGTTATGTGACTTAAAAGAGAGTGACATCACAAGTACATTCCGCAATAACCAGTTAATATATCAGTCATTTATTGATAAATTAATCAGCTTTTTTGGAAGAAGTCATGATGCAAAATCAGTATTAAAAAAGCTTGACAAATTAGGTTGCAAAATAAAAATTGATGCTGATAAACATGAATATTTGTTTCAAACACACTTTTATACAACACCTTTAATGGAAGCAGCATCAAGAGGTTACCCAGATATTGTTCGCTTTTTGATAATTAATCTTAAATGTAATGTGATCGACACAGAGAAAAAGGACATGTCACCTTTGTATGAGGCATCAGAAAGAGGACATTCAGGAGTAGTAAAACTGTTATTAGAAAGCAATGCTAACATACGTTATTGTAACAGATATGGGCAGTCTTCATTGTATGTGGCCTGTGAAGGAGGACATACAGATACAGTACAACTGTTACTGCAGTACAATGCGGATGTCTCTCAGTGTGAAAAGAATAGAATGTATCCTTTACATGTGGGTTGTAAGAGAGGATATACAGATATAGTGCGAATGTTACTGCAGTACAATGCTGATGTATCTCAGATGAACAATAATGGTGATTTCGCATTGCATATTGCCTGTAAAGGAAAACATACAGATATAGTGAAACTGTTATTGCAGTTCAATGCAAATGTCTCTCAATGTGACAGTAGGAGAGAGTCTCCATTGTACATGGTCTGTAAAGAAGACCTTAAAGATATAGTGATACTGTTACTGCAGTACAATGTTGATGTGAATCAATGTAACAGCAATGAGGAGTCCGCATTGTATGTGGCCTGTAAAAGAGGACATACAGATTTAGTGAAACTGTTACTGCAGTACAATGCTGATATCAATCAGGGTAACAATCATGGAGATTCTCCATTATATATGGCCTGTGAGGGAGGACTTACAGATAAAGTGAAACTTTTACTGCAGAATAATGCTAATGTCTCGAAGTGTAATAGTTATGAAGAGTCACCCTTGTATGTGGCATGTAAAGGCGGACATACAGATATAGTTGAAATGTTATTGCAGCAAAATGCGGATGTATCTAAGTGCAATAGTTGTGGAGAGTCCCCATTGTATGTGGCATGTACAGGAGGCTACACAAATATAGTAAAACGGTTACTGCAGAACAATGCTGATGTCTCTACGTGTGACAGGTGGGGAGATTCACCATTGTATGTGGCATGTAAAACAGGACATACAGATACAGCAGAACTGTTACTGCAGAAACATGCTGATGTCTCTCAGTGTAATAGTTGTCGAGAATCTCCATTGTATGTTTCCTGTAAAAAGGGGCATGCAGATTTAGTAGAACTGTTATTGCAGTACAAAGCTGATATCCTCAATTGTAATCAAAATGACGAATCTCCCTTGTATGTGGCCTGTCATAGCGGACACATACATATAGTAGAACTGTTACTGAAGAATAAGGCTGATGTGTCTCAGTGTGAACAAAAAAGAGGACAGTCACCTTTACATGTGGCTTGTCAAAAATTTTCATTCTATTACCTTCGAAAGGATCACTATTGGTATAAGGACAACTATACACGTTATATTGAAACTATTAAACTATTACTTGCATGGAATGCAAATATTACACTGTGTGATTCAAAAGGTCAGACACCACTTGATATTGCCTTCAAATCACAGTGTATGGCATTTGTAAAACTTTTTGAGGACAATCTGCAATTAAAAGCATCACAATCAAATTAAACGTTCATCAATTTGAATTTCATAACCAGGAATTAACAATAACAATGTAAGAATAGTTAAGAAATAATTCATCAATTGTATCTGTGAAAAGGACCTATGTAGATAATATAAAATGTTGTGCTGATGAGTTTATGTATTTTTTTTAGAATATGTAAAGAGTGCACAAGCCTGGTGTTGCTTTAACAAACTAATCAATTTAACATCATATAAAGATAACTTTATTAGAAAATATAACAAAAAATATTCAGAAGAGTTTTTTAAGATTTATCTTATCATAGATACCAGGATTGAAATTTTGTATTTGCGCCAGACGCGCGTTTCGTCTACAAAAGACTCATCAGTGACGCTCGAATAAAAAAAAAGTTAAAAAGGCCAAATAAAGTACGAGGTTGAAGAGCAGTGAGTAAAAAAAATTTTGAGACAAATTGGCAATTAATGTGCAAGTCTGTTTATTTAAAAATAGAAAATAAGTAATTTATTGCATTATTCATACTGTTTAAACAACATGAACAAATACCAAATATTTGTTGAGGTTCTAACACATACATTTTTTTTTCAATTAAGCCATTTAAGGGGAGATAACCGAAACAGTAAAATTTCTAAATATGAATTTTAAAGAAATTTTTACCATTTACGTGTAGCAAGAAAACAAATTTGGTGACACCATTTATATTTTTCTTTTCTTAAAGCATATCAAAAAACCTATCTTCGCATAATTAATTTCAAAAGTTTGTCTCATTGATTGTCTATTTATTCGCTATAAAGTGTTTATTCATGAATAATATATGCACATTTAGACAATTTTTCACGCCTTGTAGTTTGACAGATAACACAGTGACCCGTACTTTATATTATGATATTGAAAACAAAGCATGATAAAATCTATATTTTGGCAAAGTATCAGAACATTCTATCGGAGGAAGCCATACCGATGATCCACCTTAAAGATAGTTGTCTGATTGGCAATCATTCCACATCTCCTTATGTTCATAGTAAAAATTGGTGTACAACAAGAAAATACAAAATATTCACATAATATATAACACGGAAAGTTGCTGTTGTAACTCGTTAAATATGAAATTGTTTTTTTTTTTTTTTTTGTGAACACCTTATATCTTAGTGTAGTTATGGCAAACTTAAGAATATATTTTGAAACTTTTAATTTTCACTAATATTTGGGCAAAAAGAGGCTTTGTTGCCTACTCCTTTGACGTTGTTAAAAGTGCATCAATTGTTTTGGATTTTGCAAATTATATTAAAAAAAAAATAATTCAAATAAAGAATATATTTTTTTTTATTCAGCAATATATTGCTTGCTGTTAACAATTTACTTCACTAGTCCAGCGTTCTAGTGAAGGGTCTCTTTATTTTTACAAGAAATCCAGGGTTTCTCTCTGTTTATCAATAATACATTACAATTCATCTGAACTATGTTATAAATATTTCATTTTCAATCGTAAATAAATAAGTATATATGAAATTCTTATTTATCAATTTGTATCATCTAGCTTGTTTGGAAAGAAAAAATTTCCGGAAATAGTTCACATTTTCCGTTATCGATTTCCTATTATTGTATTGATATCTCTTCCTGGTTTGGAAATTACCAGTTTTAATAGTGATTTAAATATGATTAATATAAGCTATTCACAGGTAAAAATTTCAATATGTTTGTTTCGATTCTGAAATAAATTAGTATGTAAATATTTTCATTTTTTAACGATAAAAAAAACTGAGGATAACAAATACCGTTATCCACCACGCTTATCGGTGATAGGTAAAATTATTTCTCTAAATCAGTTCCGGATCTAGAATTTTCATATTTTATTAACCTTTTCCTTTTTATTTTTTGCTAGATTATACATTTTCAAACATAAAAATTATTACAACAATTTGACAACTTTATCAAGTAGACATTTATTCTTAGTATGTTTACTAGTTGCCTGCATTTTGTAGCTGTACATGAATTCTGCTTTAAATACAGAATATACATCTAAAGATTTTGTTTTCTGTTCAGACATATAATTTGCCTTATATATACAAAAAACATTATAATTGTAATCAAATAATTAATTTCATAGTATTGCTCATCATTTATTTTATAACCCCATACTAAATTTTTTAATGTTAGAATATTATTATTAATATTCAGTTTTTCTAGGAGTTTTTTTACTTTACTTTAGAAATAATCAAGAAAGTGGCATTTAAGAAACATGTGATCATAATCCTCTGTGGTGTTGCAATAATGACAATTTGAAATATCGCAGATCTTCCACTTTTTCAATAAAACTTTACAAGGTAAAATAAAGTGTAACAATTTTGCACTTATTATCTTTTAAAAAATGATGAACAAACTTAAACATATTACACGAAAGACTATTAATGTTTTCAATGTTAAGCATTGTCTTCCATTTTTAAAAACCAACAGGTATTTCAATGTCCTTCTGAGTAAATATATTATAAATTTTTCTGGTGTCTACATTTTCTAAATTTTCTTTTTTATTACAATTAATATTAATATGTATTGCATAGGATGTTTTTACTTTAGTTTTCTTTGAGTTTTCCTGTTTTAAAATCTTTAACCATTCTCTCGGAAAAGCTTTCTTTAATTGGAAAAATTCTGACATCCAGTTACTTTTTATTGTAAGCTTTAGTAAAATAACATTTCTTCTATAATACCATTTTCATCAATGATGTCATTAACAAAGATAATATTACTATTTATCCATTTTTGGAATAAAAGGCATTTATTTATTATCTTAATGAAATGATTTCCCCAAATAAATTCTTGACGTATAGATCTAAAGTTTTTTGGCTGTTGTACTTTTTATAAGTTATCCATGCTTTAACTATATTCAAATAAAATTCTGGCAGCTTCTTTAACTCTGGAATAGAATCAGTGTTATCAATATTCGTGTGAAAGATAAGGAAATCTTTTCCAAACTTATTAAAATAAAATAGTGGAATAATTTTCCAATTTTTTAGATCTCCAGTAATTAACCTTTTGATCCACCCAATTTTGATAGATTCTATGTATTTATCTATGTTAATCATTTTTAAACCCCCGTCTTGTTCACCAAAGCTTAGTACTGTTCTGTTAAACCTTTTCTCTTTTACTTTTCCATAAAGAATTATAAATATTTTTTTTTAAATTTAACAATATATTCTTTTTCAATATGTGAAACACATCCTTAAAAGGTAATATTTGGTATAATCAATGATTTGATAACTGTTATTTTACCTATCGTTGTTAAATGTCTTTTATCCAAATGTTTGATAAACTTTTCAGACTTTTCAATTTGCTTTTCTGCATTAAGTTTTTGACATTCATTTTTGTTACAACCGAAAAAAATTCCTAAACATTTCACTGGTTTGTTTGTAAAGTTGATGTTTTCATATTTTTCTTTGCAATGTTTGTGTTTTCTATCAACTTTTGTGTTTTAATTAGATTTTTTAAACTGTTAACTGGTTTTTGTGTTTTTTTTATTTGTGCTGTAATTTTTTCTGTCAATATTTGATAGAGTATCATTCATATCTCCAGCAACAATTACCATTCCTAAACTATTTTCTGATATCATATCCTTTACTTTTTTGAAGAAAAAAAAAACCATTTCTGTTTTTTGGTAAATTTGGAGCATAAATATTCACTAAAGTATACATGCTATCTTTAATTTCTATGTAAACCAAAATCATTCTCCCTTCTTTGTCCTGAAATTTATCAATAAATTTATATTCTATTTGCTCATTAATATAAATTGACACCCCTCTTGATTGTGAATTACCATAGCTATGATATATGTCACCTCTGAATTCTTCATTTAAATCTTTCTCTAAATTAACAGTGAAATGGCTTTCTTGTATAAATAAAATATTACAATGTTGATGCTTGATCCACATATGAAGCCTTTGTCTTTTGTCTTTTGATCCTATTCCCTGACAATACAATGAACATATATGTATAGTTTAACTCATTTTTTGTCATAAGTGTCATAATGAAAATACAGTGTTTACTCAAATCTGATGTTAACAACATAATATTAATAAATGCATAGTCAATATGTATTTTTGTAAATCTATACATTATACACCTTCTACGTTCACTTGTTAATTTAATAAAAAATATATCATTATATAAGTGATACATATACAATCTGTAAATTATCATTTTAATGTGTATCTCATAATATTGTGACAATGTAATAATTGTTGTTTGATTATCTAGTTTCAGTCGATGTTCGACCTTGACTTTAATAATAGGTTGACACAGTTTCACCTCATCGAACTGACGTGATAAATTTAAATACCACATGAAGTTTACAATTGGTTTGATCGAAAATTTATGTGATAGTGGATTTGTAAGATTTTGTAATCCATGTGTTATAGGAACTTGAAATTTGCACGTATTATTCATGGATTTACCTAGGAATACTAGTACTGTGTAAACACGTGTTACTATATATTGCCAGTCGTTGACTAAAAATAGAATTGGACTTTCCCTTGCTATACATCTTGTGCATAGCGAAGACTGGTGAGACATACTATCACGTTTTATAATAAATGTGTTTTCAGTGGATATTTGAATTATTTTCACAAGGAAAAGTAGATGTTGGAAGAAGTGCTTAATTATTAACTTCACATCAAGAATAGTGTTTTTACCAGAAAAAGCAGATTCTATTGTGCTATTTATAGCATACATGTACCATAATAACAAGTGACTGGAAGGAATATTTTCCTTTTTCACAACAAACATATATTTGACTTTCAATTTGTCATTTCTTTTTAGATGTATGCAATCTATAATCACATCACATTCATGTTTTTGTTTTTTTTCAATAATTATAATAAAAATAATAAAACTTATATACATTTTGTACATTGGTTTTTAAATATTATAATGCATAATTTTGATACATCTATACTATGATACAGTCTTGCACTACTTTTTACTTTTCTTTTGTGCAGGACCTGTACGTTTGTGGTATTCATCTGTGGGAGTCGTTGCATTTCTTTTGTTGGTTTATTTGTAGGCGTATGATTTTCAGGGTTTACATTACCAGGTGTTCCATGGAAATATTGGCTAATACCTCCTTGTGGTGTATTTCGTCTTGGGTTTCTTATCCCCGTTTTTTTTCTAGGCCCTTTATTTTTTTCACCTTGAGTATCTTCTGCTATTGAGTGGGTTTTTTTTTTATCTTTTTTGCTATCGTCACTGGTATTTATGTTTGTGGATGTCTGGTAGTGGAGCAATAGATATTTGGCGGACTGCGTTTTGGTTTGGTTGCAGTACAGATTGGGATTGCGGCTCTTAATTTCTACTCCAGCTTCATCGCCATCTGAATTTTGGTCATGTGTATCATCAACTTCACTAAGAGGAGAATCACACTCTGCCTGCCGGTGTCCCTCTTTATGACATTGACGATACACCCAATCGTTCGGACATTGTGCATATTTATGCCCCTTCTGAAGACATTTATTGCAAGATATTTCATAATGTCCTGTATATTAATCTTGCCCTTGATGTTGAAAGGGAACGAACTGTGCGCCTCTCCTTGTCGACCTCTTCTTATTTTCATATGAATCGGAGTTCCTTCAGACACTTGTCAAAAACAAGAAGATCAAAGAAGCCAGGTTATTTAATTTCACTTTCAGATATATTGATGATGTTCTTTCCATTAACAATCCGAACTTTTCTGATTGGGTTCCATTAATATATCCAGCAGAACTAGAAATTAAAGAAACAACAGACACAGCTTCCTCCGCCTCATTGTTAGACTTATACCTCGAGTTTGACATACAGTCATCTCAGTACCAGAATCTATGACAAACGAGACGATTTTAATTTTGAAATTATCAATTTCCCCCACCTTAGTAGCAATATACCAACTTCACCTGCATATGGGATATACATATCCAAACTTATTTGGTATTCAAGAGCTTGTTCACACTATACGGACCTCATATACAGGAGTGTGCTCCTTACGCAGAAACTGCTCCAACAAAGTTATGAGGAGGACAGATTAAAAATGACACTCCGTAAATTTTACGGACACCATCACCAATTGGTTGATCCATACGATGTGTCTTTGTCAAAACTAACTAAGGACATTTTTACCACGTGTTAGATTGTGGTTTGTCATTACGTCGTCTGATCTTTTAATTACCGAACGTGACTTATTCCCGATTGTGACTGTTTTGCTGAGTGTGAAACCGCATTGCTATAAGACGTGTCACGGTACCTTTCTATCCCAAATTCATGTATTTAATTTTGATGTTATATTTGTTGTTCTCGTCGGATTTTGTAAAATGTCTTAACATATTTTCTGTTATATTTGTGTGTTATGGTATAGATAATTAATCACCCCCTTCATTTATTAGATTTTAGTTTGGTTCAACGAAATTTATACGATATATTTGGTTTACGGTTTGATTCTGAGGAAACACTGACATAGCTGGATGATACAATTAGTTATCTAATTACTACCACAATTTGTTATTAAATAATATTGTAATTTTCATTGTTATTAATAAATGTAATGGCAGTATTGCAGATCTGGTCTTGGGTCAATCCTGATCCTATCTTATTTTTGGGAAATATTTTTACAAATTCATATGTGACGTCATTTTGTGTGTTTTTTTAGAATTTCAAATGTGACGTCACTTTGTGCGTTGAGGCTTTAGCTAACTCGGCTGTGTATTTTTATATGTTGGATTAAGTTGTTTTATGTAATGTATCCGTTTTTATTCTGTAGTTAGTCCCCACTTTGGTTTTATCATGTATATCTATTATATAGTCATTTTATAAAATTTACTGTTTGCAAAATTATAAATTATTCTAAATAATAAGGATGTTCTTGTCCCAGGCAGAAAATCCTGTCCGTGTTAGGCGCAACTTTTTGGAAGTTTTGGTCCTCGGTGCTCTTCAGCTTTGTACTTGTTTTGGCTTTCAAACTTTTTTTATCAGGGCGTCACTGGTTGGTCTTGTGTGGACGAGACGCACGTCTGGCGTATTGAATTTTAAGCCTAGTACCTTCTGCTAGCTATTATTCGTGTGTTTCTTTGTCCTATATGTTCTCCCATTTATTTGCATTGTGGTCCTGTCATGTGATGTTGTCGTTTTGGTGTTGTGTTTGACGTTGCCATAAAAACGGGAGGTTTGGCATGCCAGAAAACCAGGTTCAACCCACCATTTTTTTCTTTAAATGTCCTGTACCAAGTCAGGAAAATGGCCATTGTTATATTATAGTTCGTTTCTGTGTGTGTTACATTTTAATGTTGTGTTTTTGTTATGTCGTTGTTCTCCTCTTATATTTGATGCGTTTCCCTCTGTTTTAGTTTGTAACCCGGATTTGTTTTTATCTCTATCGATTTATGAGTTTCGAACAGCGGTATACTACTGTTGCCTTTATTTGCAGCTCCTACTCAGACTTTGTAAAACGTCACCAGTGTCTGAGCAGAAAGTTGATGAACCAGAGGTATGTCAAAGAACGTCTCGTCCTTTTTCTAAAAAAGTTCATCGGAAGGTACCAAGAACTTGTTGATAAATATTCCGTATCAACTTCACAAATAATACACGATGGTCTTGAAGTATAGATGTTGCGTACTGACGTTGTTTATCATCTTAATAACGTGTTATAGTATTCTTTTATCTGTTTTTTTTTAGATATTCATTTGACGTGACTCTGTGCTTATGTATCCCATCATACTTTGATCGCCACAATTATTTGATTTATTAACATTACTTTTACTGTTGAGTCTGTTTTTTTGTGATATACATTTGACGTGACTCTGTACTTATGTATATCGTCATACTTTGTACCACACAATATTTTATTTTATTTATTAATATTACATTTACTGTTAAGTCTGTTTTTTTTGTGATATCCATTTTACGTGACTCTGTATTTATGTATCCCCTCATACTTTGAACGACAAAATTATTTTATGTCTACCTGTGCAAATTTCAAACGCGCGATTTTACGCCAGTACTTAAAACCTTCCATCCTTGATGGGTGGATTTTACATAGATAAAAAAAATCGTATAATATAAGCAAAATGAGGATGTTAAATTTGATGTATGCCATTTTGTGCTTCTTCGTTACATTTGTTTGTTTTTATAGTGATTATGATGATAACACAATGTTGACTGCTTTACCCCTATTTTTGACAATTTTGCCTATTGTGTCTGTTTGTTTTGTTCACGCATCGTTGTCAATATGGTGGAATTTGATGCGACTGTCATACAAGTGAGAGGTTTATCTAGCTATACAACCAGGTTCAATCCACCATTTTCTACATAGGAAAATTCCTGTACCAAGTCAGGAATATGACAGTTGTTATCCATTCGTTTGATGTGTTTGAGCTTTTGATTTTGCCATTTGATTATGACTTATATCTAGAAATTGACTATGAGGGTCGTTTGAAAACAAAACTTTACGACAAAAGAGATGATTTCGGCTTCCCAATTGTGAATTTTCATTTTTAAACCAAGAGTTCCAAATGGTGAAGTTGAAATCATCACTTTGTAAATTTGACGGACGCCATCACTAGTTGGTTGACCGTTATGGAATATCCGTTTCACAGATGATATCGGATATGTTCCTTATGTCCTAACTACAATCCCGTTCCCTTTTCACGATGTGACCTACCGAATTAGACTATTTACCCTTATTTGTGACATATTTACCTTTTGTTTTTGTTTGTTTTGTTCACACATCGTTGTCAATATAATGGAATTTGATGCGACTGTTATACAAGTGAGAGGTTTAGCTAGCTTTAAAACTAGGTTCAATCCACCATTTTCTACATAGGAAAATGCCTGTACCAAGTCAGGAATATGACAGTTGTTATCCATTCGTTTGACGTGTTTGAGCTTTTGATTTTGCCATTTGATTATGACTTATATCTAGAAATTGACTATGAGGGTCGTTTGAAAACAAAACTTTACGACAAAAGAGATGATTTCGGCTTCCCAATTGTGAATTTTCATTTTTAAACCAAGAGTTCCAAATGGTGAAGTTAAAATCATCACTTTGTAAATTTTACGGACGCCATCACTAGTTGGTTGACCGTTATGGAATATCCTTTTCACAGATGATATCGGATATGTTCCTTATGTCTTAACTACAATCCCGTTCCCTTTTCACGATGTGACCTACCGAATTAGACTATTTACCCTTATTTGTGACATTTTTACCTTTTGTTTTTGTTTGTTTTGTTCACACATCGTTGTCAATATAATGGAATTTGATGCGACTGTCATACAAGTGAGAGGTTAAGCTAGCTTTAAAACAAGGTTCAATCCACTATTTTCTACATAAGAAAATGCCTGTACCAAGTCAGGAATATGACAGTTGTTATCCATTCGTTTGATGTGTTTGGTTTTTTTTTTATTTTGCCATTTGATTGGGGACTTTCCTTTTTGAATTTTCCTCGGAGTTCAGTATTTTTGTGATTTAATTTTTTACCAAAGCTTTGTATTTACCTATTATTAGTGTTCTAGGTCATGGTTTACTAAGTGGAGCAACTATTGCAATTCTGTCGCCAGTTTGGCAATTGGTTACTAATCCATCTACCCTCAAACGTTCTCTATACAGTTTAAAGATGTCACATCCATTATACTCAAGACAGCGCTCTATCTGTCCAACTTCTGCTGAACATGGAACATTTTTACCCTAACTTTAATGTACTCTGAATATTCGTTTTGGGTTATTCTTGGGTTTCGTGTGTATACTTGGATTAATTTATTGCGAATAGAAATGCCAGATATTATCAGCGATTCTCTATCTGTCTCTGAATCTAAATAAATCCTCCATAACCCTCTCACTCTCTGCAGCCCTCTCAAATGGCTTGCTGGGCAAACTGTTGCAT